GGAAATGAGGAAGATTGGGGCAATACGGAAATGTTGTTCGAAGTATTAATATGAGTGGTTGATCGCAAAGTGGTTCATGGTATCTTCAGGGCGAAAATGTTTTATGAGATTGTATCCTCGAGAGAGTATGTTCTTTTTCGTAATTTGATACATCAAGAAAACTGTGCCCCTGTACTTACCGGATGAGAGTGAAATCATTTAATTACATGAAAAGGATACTTTTATTCCTATAATTTTGTCAATGCTTTGTCAATTCAGGTCTAAATTAAGTAATGTTTTGAATATAAATCGATTTCTTGAATTGAATGTGATGCTTAAAATAGTCAGTGTTTAATCCCGAGTTTTAATAAACTCCAATTTAAATTCTATATTTTTTTTTGTTTCATGTCTTAAACCCTGCATTTCTATTAAAAGGGGTTAATGGTGTAATATGCCCCGTATTCTTTATTTCCATTCGTATTAATAATGCAGAAATATATCAAGACGAAAGATTTTTAAACTATACAGTACAAACAAACCACGGAAAGATAAGAACAGAATTATTCTGCCCCTTTCCTGCATTTTATGAATTTTTGTATTCGTATTATATTAAGGCCCTACATGTAATAGTTTATAGTTGATATTTCCGGGTGCTTAAAGTAGCTCCATTTAAAAGCAATTTCGAGCTTTATTTGTAAAACCGTAACAAATTATCGTCGCATTTCGATCATTTGTTTAAATAAAAAAAACACAAAGGTTATTCTTCATGAGTGTTTTTCTTTCTTCTCCAGAAGCGCATATTTTATTGAGATTATCTAACAGTGCCTCTATTTTTAACGAAATTATGGACGATTGTGTCATTCATTTAAAGATCGAAACGTATTATTAATTTTTAAAAATTCTCTATTTTACCATATCAAAAACGATAATTAACTGGGATAACGCTATTAGGCATGATTAAACAAGACATGCTAAATTTATTGGTTGGGTGAAACGTGGTATGCATTCAAAGAAAATAATGATGTACCGGTATAATTCATTTTGTGTTTAGAAGTAAGTCTTACATTGCTGTTTAAAAAGCGCGATGATTTTATGTAAAAGTTCGATAATGAAGCATACAGAGAAATGAAACTTATTGTAGTATAAGAAATTCACATGGGAATGTCGACAAATTATTTTGTAGACGAAAAAATAACGCGCATTATTGACATTCGTGATATTACAGAAACAGATACATTTGCTCTTGTTCCCCGCGGCCACTTGGTGAGAGGGTCTTAGATTACTGCCGCAGTTATGCTCCTATACGCATCGATAATAGAGATTTCTTAATATCAAACTACATCGATCTGGTACAACGCTTTGTCGATGTCTTCATTTCTCTAAACCCAACCAAAAATTGATTCTAGGAAGAAAAGGAGATCGCTTAAACATTGTTGAGCGTCCTGATTCGACCTCATTCCTTCTGATTTATAGTTCTCTCTTGTTATGATTCTTTTCTTAAGTTATACAAATACACAGCGTGCACTGTCCAGGTCGTGTCTATTTGCAGTCTCAGGCGCTTATCAATAATTTTCAAACTGCCGTTGCTCTTCATATTGCTTTGTAAATACACACCTCAAAGTTTCGAACCTTCTCATGAGAGAGTGATAGAAAGATAGCAAAAAATAGATGGACAGATAGATTGACAGCGAAAAGAGAGAGATAGAGTGAGTGAGAGAGAGAGAGATTAAGAGAATTCCACATTGCCGTGTACATTTTCATGCAATTAAAAGCGTAATGGAATATAGTTAAAGATGTTTATGAGGTTATTGCAAATAATGGTGACTACGTCGCCTTTCATTATACATAATTGTGAGCGAAAGGCAAAATTTTAAGCCTCTGTAACGCCAATCACAAAAACACAATTTTAATAAAAATGTTAAGAGAAATTATTTTTCATGGACCAATGACGTCACTAAGTTCTCATACAGCACAAACGACAGATCCATCAACCTCCTAATTTTCACGCGCTCAAGAGAGCCAATTCTCGTGTGTTTGCATTCATGCGCCGCGCTGTTTAATTCGAGCATTGTCGAAATGTGAAGGTGCAAAATACTAGCAGATGATATGGCCAATTTATGACCATTCATCAACCTATTTCTTGATATAGTTGCAAGCTCTTTGAATGATAAATTTACCGTTTATTGCCAGGATTAATATACAAGTCGTTCGAAAAGTCATGCGTAACTTTACGAACAGTTTTATGAAACACCCCCAGGATTTATGTGCCCGTTGCACAAACAGGGAGCGTTATTTCGGTCGACCTCATCAAACCAGAAGCCGTAATTCATGGTATTGTTTGCACAGTCCATAATAGGCCCCGCGCATATTACACGATCCTACTGCGATCCGATTTTGGAAGAATTAGCTACAAAATTCGATATAAACATCCTTAGTGATCGAGGATCTGAATTGTAGCGATATGACTAATCAAATTAAAATTTCAAGTGATTTTAAACTCTCCCCGAGGAGAAAAAGCTAAATCGGCTCAGAATCGTGGTGACGTCATACCAGATGTACGGTTGTCTACGATCTAAAGCCGATTCGGCTTTTATTCTGACTAGAAGGATTTTAAAATGCACTAAAATTACGGCTGTCAGTGTTCTAATCATTATTCAGAAGCTAAATCAGAAAGTAACATCTGTTTTACACTAATAAAATAATACTAATTCTTATACGATTGCGATTTTTCGAAAATTGAATCGCAAGACGATCGTGCGGTGGGGTTTAAGCAGTGACTGACGTAGAGTAGAGTAGACCAGGGACGTGATAGAGAAGGACTGGAATCAAGCCGCTCTCCTTTGACCCCATGCTCCAAGCCGCCGAAAAGTTATGCGCTAATCTGCAACTGTTGACCAGGTGGTGAGATAAAAGAGTGCATGAAATTTCAGGATTTAGAATTCCTACATCAGAAAATGGTATCACAGCAACTGTTCGCTGTCCCTTCCAATGATTTATCATCCATTGTTGAATGTGTACAAGTAAAACAAGCGAACACAAACTTGTGTAATTTTATCCTTTTTTAAACTTGAAAAATACAAAAAACACGCGAAAACACGCATTAGCAAACTTAATGTTATTGAAGATTGTAAATCATGGATCAAATAACGGGACATTAAAGCATGCACAAATTAGCGCATCATCCTAAAATATTGAATTTTTGACAGGATGTAATTTTTCTTTTACCAACTCTGGCACACAAATTAAAGGAAGGACGAAGTTCTAAATTTGAAGATTTGTTTGATGTACTATTCCCAATAAAATCCCCATATAAAGTTTTTGATTTACACTGAAATTTTGCTGGTAATTTAATATTTTGTAATAAATGTAAAACTGGTGCCTGGCTTCCGAAAGTCCCCGCAGTGGAAGCGCGGTTCGGAGCATGGAACTTCAAAGCCAAGTGGAATGTTACACATCCCATTGTTACGCTTTAGAACTCAAGAATGCGTTTGAATAAATTACAAGAGTTTCGCCTCCTTTTCTTTCACCTCCCTGAGTAGACGTAGAGCCGTATCGTACAGAGAAGTGAACGCAAAATTAACATTACAAAGATTGCTTTGAGTTAGTTGCATGTTATGTGGGCAAAAAAACTTGGTGGGCTTAATTAGCAAACTGAGGTAACACAAAAGAAAAGTGACTTCTCGACCGGTCGCGTGCAACTGGCATAAGAAAAAGGAACTTCATATTTGTATGGCTGTTCTACATATTACGATCTAACCACATTCTTCAGTCATCATTATGTCATTCATAAATGTGTGAGAGAGAGAGAGAGAGAGAGAGAGAGAGAAGAGGGAGGCGGGGTATATAATTAGAAATATCTAAAGAGGTTTCGCCCAGTGTATGAATCTCGTCGCAAGACTCGCGATGTTTGTATTGCGCTGACACGGCGGGCATTTGAAGTAAACACAAGCAGACGACATTTTGGCGGGAATATTTGTCGAGTTGCTGCGACATTATATTTAGTGAGCTCAGGCTTTGCTAACATTTCTGCCATTGGGTTTCGGTGCAGTCTGCAAAAATCAAACAACATTAAATGACTTATTTGATCGATCCTTCTATGGAAATATACGTTGTCCACTGGAGCGACATCTAATAAAGTTGCTCATTTGATTGTAGGCTCACTTGTATATAGATTTAAATTAGATGTTATTCATAACTGCATCAACATAGTAATCATTAAAAATGGAACAGTGCTAACAAAATCTCTGGCAGCCCCGTCCGCTCAGTTCTCTCAATTGAAAATAAATTCATTGATTACTGATCTAGAATCCAATAAACACTGAATTGCAAAACAGAGTTGTGTGGGATTTCTCAATTGATAGCTGCATAGATATTAAATAGTGTGAATAAATTAAATGAGCTATGATCAAGTCAAATCACGGAGATGTTACCTTTCTTGAAAGTTTAAAATATGGTGTGGGCTATGTTTAAAGATTAAGAAAGACAGCGAGAGTTGGGAAGTTAGAGAACTGATTGAAAGACATGTTTAAAGAAGCACACACAAGGGGATACGTCATCGGACTATGGATCACATAGTTCGCGGTTCGAGTCCCTCCGCGACACAGTCGTCCATTGGCAAGAAAGTTATGTCCCATGGTACATCTACCATTCAGCCCATATTCGGTAACCAGTAGGACGCGATTGTTAATGTGGTTGGATCGACACGTGTCCGCTTGTAAAATGGCACCTGATCGGAATACTCCAAAGGAAGCGGAGCGTGTGCACGTTTTTGTGTGGATTAGCCATTGAATCTAATGACAGGGATAATTGCATAGCACCTATAGCACCGTAATGTGCTATACAAAACTATCTAGAATACGAATAATTCAAAAGAAGTAAAATAAAGAGGAAGAAGAAGTAGAAGAGGGAGGAGAAGGAGGAAGAGGGGATGATGAAGAAGAAGACGGGGACTAATATTTGCAGGAAAAGATGGAATACGGGATACAGGGACACAGAGATTGTTGGTCTATAATCATTCTCACCTGGAATCGATCTGGCGGTACGGTCCTGAGGAAATACGGGTATCGGTCATCATTGCTGAGTTCATCACTCGTCGAGAGATAGCTGACTTGAGGAATAGCGTACAAACCAAACAAAATGGCGGCCTGCAGGCTGGACGCGCTGCGCTGTGCTCCAACCACCCCCGCAATCATCGGCAGAGGCCCATCGGTTGTATTGCTAAGGCACTGTGACGTCAGACGTTGAGCTGGAATCATCTTGAGCGATTGTTTGAGGGCTATGGCGTTGAAGGAGCAGGTATCGTAGATCTCGTATCCAAGAGTGATGTTGGGAAGGAGCGTTTTATTGTCGTTGATCTGTCGCACCATGTAGACCATGGCTTCAACGCGTTTGAGCGCATCCAAACCCCGTAGCTCCCCGCAATCCTGCACGCTCTCCTCGTAGAAGTGCACCGGGAAGAGCCCGCCTAGGTTGATGTCGCCCCAATGTTTGTAGGTGATGTCGACTTCGGCGAACGACGGCACGATGACCAGGAAGACGAGGATAGAGAACATTGTGGAGCAGACTAGGACGATAAGCTTCATGGTGACCGACCGCGATGTACTTCATCCGCACAATGGATAAGTGACTGAAAAGAATGACAAGAAAGTCAATTTGAAAAACATTGTTACGATCCACAGTCATTACACGATCAAACCATAATGTTAGCAAACTAACAGATGCCGTCATTAATAAAGGATTCGGGGATCGCATACATACATTATACATATGACGTATGAAATATGCCTCGTCACTTATCCGTTCATAAGGCGCATTAATCAAAATCACGACAAATACGAAAGTCAGAGTTTTCAGCCCTCACAATTCATCCCCATTCTATGAGCAGCAGCAGAAGCAGCAGGAGCAGAAGAAGAACTAATAAACTTTTCTCAACATTTGCCCAAATCCCACGACACATCTAAAGGCTGACACGCGTAAACCATCATAATACTTGACGCAATACAACATCCATCACAAATCCGAGGCGAAGTGTCAACGAGATAGATTTTCCCAATCTGATTCCAGCTGCAGTCTCGGGCTCAGTCACCTCTCTTTTCGTTGACGGAAATATATATCACCTCAAAAAATGAATTACAAGCCAAAGGGTATACGGGTATTTCGCCAAAGGTCATTACTATTTTTTTTTACAATTATCATTAAGAAAATAGATCGATCGTAAAAATAACCAGTGCTGGTATTGTTAGCACTATAAGCGCCGCCAGTGACAAAAGTCGCAGTACATCAAATTCTATATTTCATATATGTTTTATCACTTGATCATTACACCTGCAGAGCCAAACGGATTCTTGATTCAATAGGCAGCCCCCTCCCTTCAATAATCTAAATCGGGAGGTTACGTAGTACATGGTGTAAGCCTACGCAGAAATCAAGATAAAGGGGCAGACTGTATGCAAAACAGGAAGGGGGAGGGTAATGCATGTATGAACATTGCAGTTGATTCCGGATTTCCAGCACACACAAAAAACCCAGAAAATTTCGCGACGTGAAAGTTTTGCGAATTACAAAAGTTTGTACCAGCTTTAATTCATTCGTTTCGTGGCATTATGCCTTCAAGTTCAACTGTTGGCAACATTTAACGAAAACATCCGGAATCCGATATTTCTCGGAAACAGGACGTGCCGTGCCCTTCAATCTCAACTGCACTTTTTAACTTGTAAACGTTCAGTATCAAATTACCCACAGCTCATCGATATTATTCTCCGTATTAATAGTTTTAAGTTGCATGTAAATAAATCAAATAGTGAGACTGAGCATGGTATTATCATCGTTCTCCAATCCTTCTTCCCTAATCATCATCAGCCTGATGTACCTTTCCCGACAATATTTTTTCAATAAAATTATCTGCTGTTACAGTTGATGTTTGTAATTTAAAATCTTGTGTTTATATTTCCTCATTAATGATTTAAATACTCATTCACTTCCTAATTTTTTTTTAACCAAGATAACCTCGTCATGATCAGGAGTTAATAATTGTTGTTTACTAGTTGCCCCTTCTTTCCATCTCTCTATCACTCTCTCTTTCTCTATCACTCTCTCTCTCTCGATCACTTCGCTGGTCTGGTTGTTTCATCACGGTGAATGTATGCATTTACATCAAGTTCACTGCATTTACGTGTCAACATGACCAGAACGAGTTTTTTCTTCTTCTTCTTCTGTGAGTGATGTAACCATAGTCACCCTCAAATCAAATCCCGATAAGATTTTTTTTCTGGACAAAACAAAAGACAGTGATATGTCAACTTGTATATGCCAAAGTGTACTGTCCATAACGTAGCCAAAGGATGTGGCTGAATGCAGTCAAATACAAATGCAGAAGGAATTGCTTCGACAGGGCTGAAATTCGTACCTTATAAATCTATAACGCCACAGGTTCAACGAACCTCTATATGACAACGTTTTTCTGCAGACCATCTCTCAGTGAAAAACTAAGTGTTCAACGTCCACGAACAACATATCTTCTAATCAAATCCAAACCCGGTCTAACACAGGCGAAGCTTGCTCAGTCAACAATTTTAACAAATAAATTTAAACTTAGGCTTAGATCTAATGAGATTTCTCTTATGAGATTTAATTTAACTTTTAGCTTTTAAAGTAAAGTACAGGCAGAGAGTTTCTTTGTAACGTATTTTCTACCTTTTCCAGCTCCCCCTGTCTTGGGGCTGTTGCATACGAGACGTTATTTCGACTTCGCCGTTACCTTCCCTAATACATGTGCATTATTAGATTTGAAGTACATTTAACTTGCTAAATAAAATACATGCATGGAATATATTTTTCGCTAAATGCCCCCCCCCCCCCCTCCTACCAATCCGATCTGTCTCTTTCTTGGGGCCGTTGCACATTTTTGATCGGGAATGCAAGTCTTAAACTAGTCTTTTAGATTTGTTAATGCATCTCCAGACGTATTTGGTCATTACTGAATGTCTGAATAAATACAAATACAAAGCGTTCAATCGGTGCAGGAACGATTTTATACGAATTTCACATTATGATGCTTCAACCAAAACATATTTTTTTTGTTCAATATATGTTTTTTTTTTAATCAGGAAAGTGATATATGTATTCATGATCGGCGTTTCATTTGATAAGGGGCAGAGTTAGGATTCTTAAAATAGGAAAATGGGAGCAACAAAAAGGGGGCACGAGTACGAGTTCATGATTAGAGGGCTGGTACATATTCTTTTGGTGTACTTCGGGTATGCTAAATTCAGGTTGAGTTTTAAAATAAACATACCCCACCCTCCCCCTAAATACGCCACAGCTTTAGATTAGTCAATTTAATCACCCTATGCATACAACATTCAAATTCAATTTTCACTACTTTCGCGACGGTTCATTACAGAATAATGTGCGTCAAGGTTGGAATGGGTACTTTGCCACAACATAATACGGATAGTGACATTAATAATTATCAAATTCCCTGATGGAATTTGTTGTGTGTTATAATATAATTTCATTCTTTTCTATCCTTAACATTCTAAAAAGTATTTCTAAGGGAATCATCCTCGTCATAACGATTTGAGTGTAATTATGTTACGTTATTTTTGTACTTGCCATGGGGAAAATTGAACTTCGAAGTTCGAATACACACGCAAATGCGCATCTCTAGAAAATTTGAGGAGCGCAAAAAACAGGTAAAAGAAAGAAAAGAAATTTACATTTCACTGTAGCCAACGGGGGAAAGGGCTATGGAATTAGTCGGTTCACATGTTTCCTTGTCCTTCATGCGGCTCCGCTTGCTTGCTTGATTTCCGATTCGCTAAAAGTTAAAGAAAGTCACCCATGAAACCAGGGCGAGCAATCTATAAAGTACATCAAGCATCAGCGAGGATTTTCTCCCTCAGTCGAAACCCTGTTCAGCCCGTTCCCCCACCTAGGCAGTATATGAAATAGCATGTGAAGATGTTTTCAAATTATTCGCCCACCCCCCCCCCCCCCACACGCACGTATAAATAAGCAAACACACACTTTGCGATTATTTATTTTCTTCCGTTTTTGTTTTCATTGTTTTTATTTGCCTTTTTGTTGTTGTTTGTTCTGATGTTTTATATCAATATGTTTTGTTTGTGTGTTACTGGTTTTTGGTTGGTGTTGTTGTTGTTGGTTTGGGGGAGGGCTGTAAAATGAAATGACTTAAATTTTGCAAAATTCCGAGTCTAGCACTTGTACCCTCTCCAATCCGACAGCTCTTAAAATCCCTGACACTGCATCTCTATCATCTCTCTCTCACTCTCTCTCTCTCTCTCTTTTCCTGTCCGTTTCATTCAGGGAATGAAAATGCAGACAGCAGAGACAAATGGATCTTTCCTTTCATGCATGCACGGATCGGTGAAATAACTATCAATTTTCAAACATAGCTAGCCAACCAATCGTCACGTACCCACCTGAAATGCAAATGCGAGAAAAAAAGCGCGGAGTTAACTTTCATAAATCTTCTCTGTATGAGTAACTTAGGAGGCTGAAGCCCAACAACAATAACCCCTTTGTATAATGTGTGTGTGCGCGTGTGCGTGCGCACGTGGGAGCAGATACGTGTATTGTGTGTGGGAGAATGCGCGAATAGTGCACTTTCTTCTTTGGCAGACAATATTTCAAGAGGAAGGGCAATGGCATTACGGATGTAATTGCATTACCATCCATGAATGAAAATGGCCGAATGCGATCGCACTATGGAAGAAGAAAGTATGGTATTTTTTCATTCTTACAGCCCAACATTAACTGCTAACGGAACTATACAGGAAATGATACCGGCTTCTAGCACAGTGCTTATATCCACAGTGCTTGGTGGACAAAGTGCAAATTACCCCGACGCTCAGAATGTACAGAAATCAGAAACCTACTGGAGATCAAAATATGAAATGAATCAAAGATGATTTTGATTTTATATATGAATTACCCTTTAGAATTATTCCTGATACAAGGACTAGATTTTTCCAATATAAGATAAATACACGATACTTAATACTGGTAAATGCAAAGCTGATAAAATGAAAGTAATAGACAATGAAATGTGTTTTGCAAACAAGAGCCAGAAACGATTTAACACCTGTTTGTAGTATGTTTATATACACGAGATTATTTGAACGAATTTTTAAGATGGTGGCACACTAGATTTAATAAAGAAATTTTCAATTGAAAGGCAAAGAGATATTACTTGGGATACAAGACAAACAGCATGCTGTATTGAATCATTGTATTATTATTGCAATGAAAAGATAATATTTAGGTAGATCTCTCGAGATATTCTCTTCTTTTAATTTATTTCTTATTGAATTAAATAAATCATACAGAAAAATATAATTGTTATAAGGATAGATCCATGCATAGATTTCACAAAAATTGGAATGTGCTAGAATTAGGATGATATTGTAACCTGTTATGTTGTCTGTCTTTTTTCCTTGTTTTTATAATCTCGGATTGTACTCAAACTATATTTAACATCATTTTGTATTATGATAATGATATATTTGAAATACACGTGGTTCATTTTAATTTGTATTATGTATGAGATGTTTTGACCGAATAAAAAAAAAGTATAAAGAAACAAAAAATAAAACAGATATCACCCTTACATTTTCATCAAGTTCTAGCCTCGCTGAGCATCTATGTTGTATTATACCGATATTATCTTAAACCACATCCCGTACAATTAAAAAGTAGTGATCAAATTTACTAGCCCCACCTCTTTTATGCGTGGGTGGGGATGTGGAAGCGAAGATATTTATGAAGAAGGATATGATATGGTAAACCTTGTCCTTTTAAAACCCCGAATCCCACATTCATTTCCGAAACAATATGGTATTGAGAAAAGATCCTGTCTGTGGCCCTGTAAGGGGGGAATGGGGAAAAATTGTGTTATTTCTTGCGGTTGTCATGTGCATATATGTAACTGAATAATTAACAGAGAGAGAGAGAGAGAGAGAGATACAGAGAGAGACATAGAGAGAGAGATGAAGTGAAAGTAACTATATCTGCCAGAATTAAAGCACGAACAAGCTTCGGTTTCCTTGACCCAACTTAGGCTTTTTGAAACAGACAATTCCCTCATATCGATTTACAAATGAAGGTATTATATCAAAACGCGAAAATTCAAAGGAATCGAGTTCAAAAGGAAAAAAACAGGTGGAATTCTGATTCCAGTAATCATAAGTGATAAGGTACCGTAGTCGCTGTTATACATTAAAAGAAGGGCGAATCCACCT